AAAGGTAAAATAATTGTAATGAATGGAAGTATATTTGGAAATGTTCCATTGATTAATTTCTTTTCTAATAAACTAGCTTGTATTGCAAATGCAGCTAAAAATAATAATTATAGTTTGTGGCATGAGAGGCTAGGTCATTTGAGTAAGGGAAAGTTTTTAGAAATTAAAACCAACAAGAAAGGAAGCTAGCTTCGGCAAGCCGAAGCTTATATACCCTTGCAGATCATTCTATTAATTTACAAATCGCAAAAATGTTAAATTTCTTATTATTTCACAATAATTTTTCGATCGTTTCTATCACAGCTATATGATATAGTAGTTCGATCTTTTAAAAATTAAAATCGAAATTCGGAAATATTTCAAAATAGTCATATCCCAGAGTAGAAGGGAATGTAATAAAAACCAACAAAGATATCATTTTTTTCCCATTAATTTCCATTTAATTTTTCGACCGTTCCTATGGCAGCTATATGATATAGTGATCCGATTTAAAAAACAAAAAAACCGAAATTCAGAAATATATAAAAAAAATATTCCCAGGAGTAGAAGGTAAAATTTCAAAAAACACCGGAGCTAGAATTTTTTACGTTTTTTTTATCTTTCCTATGGGAGCTATAAGATATAGTTGTCCGATCCGGTTGGTTCCGACATATATACTACCTGCAATAGAAATACGACTTTTACGAAAGTTTCATCCCGATAGCTTTAAAACTGAGAGACTAGTTTGCGTAGAAACGGACGGACAGACGGACAGACGGACAGACGGACGGACAGACGGACATGGCTAGATCGACTCGTCTTGTGATGCTGATCAAGAATATATATACTTTATGGGGTCGGAAATGTCTCCTTCACTGCGTTGCAAACTTCTGACTGAAATCATAATACCCTCTGCAAGGGTATAAAAATATGTTTGACGATACAGATTTGCTGAATAACATAAAACCAGAAAATGAATTATGTGAAGCTTGTGTCAAGGGAAAGCAGGCGAGATTAAGTTTTAATAAATTTAAAAATAAGGACCACAAAAATCGACCATTATTTGTTGTACATTCTGATGTGTGTGGTCCAATAACCCCATCTACTGTTGATCATAAGAATTATTATGTAGTTTTTATTGATGACTATACACATTATTGTGTAACTTACCTGTTGAGTTATAAGTCAGAAGTTTTTAGTGTATTTCAAGACTATGTAGCTAAAACGCATGCTTTGTTTAATTTAAGTATGGTTAACCTTTATATTGATAATGGTAGGGAGTATTTATCGAATGAAATGAAAGAGTTCTGTGTTCAAAAAGGCATTAGTTACCACTTGACGGTTCCACATACTCCACAACAAAATGGTGTGTCCGAAAGGATGATTAGATCTATAACGGAAAAAGCTCGAGCTTTAGTTATAGGGGGCAAGGTTCAGAAAACTTTCTGGGGTGAAGCAGTGCTAACAGCTACCTACCTTATTAATAGAAGCCCAACTAGTGCATTACATGAATGCAGAAAGACACCTTTTGAAATGTGGCACAGCAAAAAGCCGTGCCTGAAGTACTTAAGAGTTTTTGGTTCGACAGTATACGTTCTCAACAAAACGAGAAAAAGAAAATTTGATGACAAATCATGGAAAGGTATACTTGTCGGGTATGAACCAAATGGATATAAAGTATGGGATGTGGAGAATAACAAATTTGTTATTGCAAGAGATGTAGTGTTTGATGAATCAAACAGGATAATGTCTAGAGCTGTGGATGTTGATAACAACATGGATTTTCCCAATCTTGAAAAAAATATTGAACCTTCTTTTCAAGACTCTGGTCTTGTTAAGGGTGAAACGGTTCAGAAAAACACTGATATGGTAGTATCAGATGTGCAGCCTAGTGAAATGGAAAATGAAGTGGAGAATGAAGTGAAAAAGGCCGATCCAGATATATCTGGTGTTATATATGAAGGTGAACCAAGTGACTCTGATACTCCAATTCGAAAAAGCAATAGACTAAAAAAAAAGCCCAAATTGCCATATAGAGATATGATTAAAAATTGTGTTATGAATGCGCAAACTTTAACAGGTAGTGCTCCAATATTTTGATGAAATTAATAATAGGAGTGATAAAGAACAGTGGAGAGCAGCTATTGAAGATGAGCTTAATTCTCATGAAATTAACAAAACATGGTCTCTGGTAGAAAGACCCGAAAACAAAAACATAGTCGATTGTAAATGGATATTTACAATAAAACAGAACGAGTTTGGTAGACCAGTAAAATATAAAGCCAGACTTGTAGCACGGGGATTTACACAGGAATATTTAATCGATTACGACGAAACTTTTGCCCCTGTGGCTAGAATTGCAAGTTTCAGACTTATAATGTCTTTTTCAAACCAGTATAGCCTTAAAGTACATCATATGGATGTAAAAACTGCTTTTTTAAATGGAGATTTAAAAGAGGAAATATATATGAGAGTTCCTCAAGGACTGTCTTGTAATAGCAGTCATGTTTGTAAATTGAATAAAGCAATTTATGGTCTTAAGCAGGCGGCTAGATGTTGGTTTAAAGTGTTTGAAAAGGCTTTAAAAGATATTGGTTTTAAAAATTCACCTGTAGATAGATGCATATATATTTTGGATAAAGGGACTATTTTAAAAAATATATATGTTTTGTTATACGTAGATGACTTGGTTATTTGTACAGAAAACATTTTAACAATGAATAAATTTAAGTCATATTTAATGAGCAAGTTTCAAATGACAGATTTAATGGAAATTAAGTATTTTATTGGTATTAAAATAGACAGAAAAGAAAGTAAAGTGGAATTAAGCCAATCAGCTTATATAAAAAATATTTTATTAAAATTTAACATGGAGCAATGTAATTCTGTAAATTCACCACTTCCAAGTAAACTGAACTTTGATTTATTAGACTCTGATGAAAGAGACGATTCTCCTTGTCAAAGTTTGATTGGATGCCTTATGTATGTAATGCTATGTACAAGGCCAGATCTCAGTATATCTGTAAATCTTTTGAGTCGGTATAGTCAGAAAAATAATAAAGAGCTTTGGCTATGTTTAAAAAGGGTATTAAGGTATCTGAAAGGTACTATCGACTTTAAGCTAACATTCACTAAAAATGAGAGCAATGACGACTTCTTTGTTGGATTTGTAGATTCAGATTGGGGTGGAAGTCAATTGGATAGGAGATGTACAACAGGATATCTTTTTAAGATGTTTAAAACAAACCTGATTTGTTGGAGTACTCGAAAACAAAATTCAGTGGCAGCATCATCAACCGAAGCCGAATATATGGCATTGTTTGAGGCTGTAAGGGAAGCCCTATGGTTAAAATCTTTACTAGAAAGTTTGAACATAAATGTAAAGCAACCTATTACAATATTTGAAGATAATCAGGGCTGTATTAGTATCGCCAACAACCCCTCTTGCCACAAACGTTTAAAACATATAGACATCAAATATCATTTTTCACGTGAACAAGTTGAAAATAAACTAATAAAACTTGAGTATATTTCTACAGCGGATATATTGACAAAACCACTTCCAGCTCCACGCTTTGCACAATTGAGACAGCTTCTTGGCTTAAGCGATTGATGGATGCAGACGATACTTACATAAAAGTTGAAGACTTAATTTAATTTATCATTTAAAGAATAATTTTTGAAACTATGAATCTGTTATCATTTCTCTAACTATTAAGTTCCTGGAAACAGAAGCATTTTGGCTTAATTACTTTATAGTTTTCAAATTTATAATATCACTTCCTGAAATTGCCTTTAATTGTTTTGTATGATAATTTTGCATCACATCTGATTTTCAGAGTCATTTTAAATATAAATCATTGACTTTCTTTGTATTATATCTAAAGAGCTGATGACCTAATCGAAGGTTTTCTGGGTTCTCCACCAATTCTGTGCGTTAAGCAACACTCTGTAATTGTTGGCGTCAGATGAATTAAAGCAGTCCCAGAGATATCTTGTCTTGCCAATTCAAATTTCAAATTCTTTCTGGTAAACTTTAAATTTTTAAATCATGAGCATCAGGGACTTTTGACAGGGACGAGTAACGTGCCCTTGAAGAATAATTGAAACTTTAACTTCATATCTACAAGAATATCGTTTGAAACAAAAGTATTCTGCTCACTTACTTTATACTGGTCAACTTACTAATATCACTTTCTGAATTGCCGTTAATTGAGCTGAGTTCAGCTCTTCACTTCATTCCGTCATAATTTAAAGTGACAAGACGTGTTCTTTTAAGGAACTTGAAGATTGATATATCTAATTAACTATACATAAAGTGTATTTAAAACAAATTGGGTAATGTGAATTGGTGGGAGATATAATGTTGCCAATCAAATTCACATATTACTTAAACTTTAACTTTTGAAGACCACGAGGACGAATACAAGAGGCAACACGTGGAACGCGACATTCTGACGAAATAGTGTGACGCTTCCAGGAAATCACACACACACACATATATAAATTGTGTATATTCTTATAGGTTATGGGCCCAGACCACGCCATAACTGCAGCTAAGTAAAAGTATCGTTTTATTATATATATTAAATACAATATGGAGAAAACCAATAAACAAAATATAAGGCCATTTGATGGAGAAAAATATTCCATCTGGAAATTTCGTATAAGGGCATTGTTAAACGAAATAGATGTGTTGAAGGTTATAGACCAAGAAGAAGAAGAACAAGAAGAAAGAAAATTTTGTTGAATGGCAGAAAAAGGAGAAATGCGCAAAAAGTGTGATCATTGAGTATTTAAGTGACTCGTTTTTAGGTTTTGCTAAAAGTGAAGATACGGCAAAGCAGGTTTTCAAAAATTTAGATTCAATCTATGAGAGGAAGAGTTTGGCCTCACAGTTGTCTACACGCAAGCAACAGCTATCTTTAAAACTTAAGAGCGATTCTCAGTTATTAAGCCATTTTAATTTGTTTGACGAACTCATTGCCGAATTGCTAGCATCAGGTGCTAAAGTTGAAGAAATGGACAAGATTTCGCATTTACTGCTAACACTGCCATCTTCGTATGACGGCGTTATAACGGCAATAGAAACTTTAGCAGAAAATAATTTAACCTTGGCCTTTGTAAAAAATCGTCTGTTGGATCATGAGATCAAGTTAAAAAATAGTAGCAAAGATACCAGTCTAAAGGTTATGCAGGCTGTAAAAAAGGACAGTAAGCCTCAATTTTCTTTTAAGAAAAATAGCAAATTTGCATCAAATAGAGTTTCAAAATTCCAGAAAAAATGTTTTCATTGCGGCAAGAGTGGTCACTTTAAAAAAGATTGCTTTGTAAGGAACTTTCTTGGGCTGGGGTAGGCTCAGTCTGCCCAGGATCCTCTACAGATAAATTTGTTGATATCAGAAAGACGAGGTGGGGTCACTGGCCTGTGCCGGCCGGGAAGGGTTGCTGCGCGGACGCCAAACAGGAGTGCTTATTCGGAGCTATCACCAGCCAAATAAGTCCTTCGGCTCTCCGCTGGTTCCGGGGGTTACGGGCGTCGGCGGCGAAAGGGAACCTGCAGACTGGGGTCACCTGTACCCCGCAAGCGTGTACTGGGTGCACTTACTCTCGAGCCGACTAGAGTCAGGGTCGCGCGCTGGTTCCGGCGGGAAACTGTACGCTTATTTGCAGAAGATGACCAGACAAATAAGTGGCCAGTTCCCGGCGCTGGTACCGACGGAAAAGGACAGGGCACTTATTCGGAGATATTACCAGTCAAATAAGTACACTGCCTTCCGCTGTCCCGTGTGGCTCGAGTGGCGATCCCCGCTTCCCAAATTAGTAGACGACTCGGGCCGGGTAGTTTTCTGGTTTCACTTTTATTCTCGGTATTCGGTATTTACCCGCACTGTAGGTTCTGGTTTACTCTGGTTTACTTGGTTAACTTACTTCGCTAGTCCCGGTGTCCTGGCGGTGGTCTCGCTGGGTCACGGAGCCGTGCAACCGCTGCGTTCGGGCGTAGAAACGAAAAAGCCCTCGTTCCGCCAGGTCCGCGTGTCTCGGTAGTGATCGCACTTAACGTCAAAAATATTCATCGCACTTAACGTAAAAATATTCATCGAGTATTCTTAAGAATATTTATCGATCGGCCTTCCTGGCCCCAAAATACCAACTAGAAAACACTTAAATACTAGACTTTACTATCGATCTATTCCTCCAGGGCTACGAGTCTTTTGTTTATTAACCCTAATAATGCCTCCGTGGCCATTTTAATTCTTGCCTCCGTGGCTGATTATTTTAATACTGTCAAGAATGTGGGGGGTCAGTTCGGTGACTCCTCACAGCTTTGCCCTAAAAAGAGAAAAGGATAAACATGGAAATGGCAAACAGGCGCAGATGACATCCACACAAAGCCAAGGAAATCATAATGGGATCGCATTTATGATGAGACGCGCAAATAGCCAACCAAACATTGGGTTTTAATTGGATTCTGGCGCATCAGACCATTTGGCCAACAATGAGAGTTTGTTTACAACTATCACTGAATTAGATGAACCTATTAAAATTTCTGTTGCCAAGAACGATGTATTCATTTATGCAGTTAAGAAAGGAACAGTGACGCTGTACACTGATTCAAATGAGAAAATTGAGCTTAAAGATGTCTTATACTGTCCTGATATCCCGGAAAACTTGATCTCAGTTAAGAAAATGCAGGAGGCAGGCCTTACCATTGTATTTCACCCAGGAGGTGTAACTGTTAGAAAAGGTAAAATAATTGTAATGAATGGAAGTATATTTGGAAATGTTCCATTGATTAATTTCTTTTCTAATAAACTAGCTTGTATTGCAAATGCAGCTAAAAATAATAATTATAGTTTGTGGCATGAGAGGCTAGGTCATTTGAGTAAGGGAAAGTTTTTAGAAATTAAAACCAAAAATATGTTTGACGATACAGATTTGCTGAATAACATAAGACCAGAAAATGAATTATGTGAAGCTTGTGTCAAGGGAAAGCAGGCGAGATTAAGTTTTAATAAATTTAAAAATAAGGACCACAAAAATCGACCATTATTTGTTGTACATTCTGATGTGTGTGGTCCAATAACCCCATCTACTGTTGATCATAAGAATTATTATGTAGTTTTTATTGATGACTATACACATTATTGTGTAACTTACCTGTTGAGTTATAAGTCAGAAGTTTTTAGTGTATTTCAAGACTATGTAGCTAAAACGCATGCTTTGTTTAATTTAAGTATGGTTAACCTTTATATTGATAATGGTAGGGAGTATTTATCGAATGAAATGAAAGAGTTCTGTGTTCAAAAAGGCATTAGTTACCACTTGACGGTTCCACATACTCCACAACAAAATGGTGTGTCCGAAAGGATGATTACGGATGATAACGGAAAAAGCTCGAGCTTTAGTTATAGGGGGCAAGGTTCAGAAAACTTTCTGGGGTGAAGCAGTGCTAACAGCTACCTACCTTATTAATAGAAGCCCAACTAGTGCATTACATGAATGCAGAAAGACACCTTTTGAAATGTGGCACAGCAAAAAGCCGTGCCTGAAGTACTTAAGAGTTTTTGGTTCGACAGTATACGTTCTCAACAAAACGAGAAAAAGAAAATTTGATGACGAATCATGGAAAGGTATACTTGTCGGGTATGAACCAAATGGATATAAAGTATGGGATGTGGAGAATAACAAATTTGTTATTGCAAGAGATGTAGTGTTTGATGAATCAAACAGGATAATGTCTAGAGCTGTGGATGTTGATAACAACATGGATTTTCCCAATCTTGAAGAAAATATTGAACCTTCTTTTCAAGACTCTGGTCTTGTTGAGGGTGAAACGGTTCAGAAAAACACTGATATGGTAGTATCAGATGTGCATCCTAGTGAAATGGAAAATGAAGTGGAGAATGAAGTGAAAAAGGCCGATCCAGATATATCTGGTGTTATATATGAAGGTGAACCAAGTGACTCTGATACTCCAATTCGAAAAAGCAATAGACTAAAAGAAAAGCCCAAATTGTCATATAGAGATATGATTAAAAATTGTGTTATGAATGCGCAAACTTTAACAGGTAGTGCTCCAATATCTTTTGATGAAATTAATAATAGGAGTGATAAAGAACAGTGGAGAGCAGCTATTGAAGATGAGCTTAATTCTCAAGAAATTAACAAAACATGGTCACTGGTAGAAAGACCCGAAAACAAAAACATAGTCGATTGTAAATGGATATTTACAATAAAACAGAACGAGTTTGGTAGACCAGTAAAATATAAAGCCAGACTTGTAGCACGGGGATTTACACAGGAATATTTAATCGATTACGACGAAACTTTTGCCCCTGTGGCTAGAATTGCAAGTTTCAGACTTATAATTTCTTTTTCAAACCAGTATAGCCTTAAAGTACATCATATGGATGTAAAAACTGCTTTTTTAAATGGAGATTTAAAAGAGGAAATATATATGAGAGTTCCTCAAGGACTGTCTTGTAATAGCAGTCATGTTTGTAAATTGAATAAAGCAATTTATGGTCTTAAGCAGGCGGCTAGATGTTGGTTTAAAGTGTTTGAAAAGGCTTTAAAAGATATTGGTTTTAAAAATTTACATGTAGATAGATGCATATATATTTTGGATAAAGGGACTATTTTAAAAAATATATATGTTTTGTTATACGTAGATGACTTGGTTATTTGTACAGAAAACATTTTAACAATCAATAAATTTAAGTCATATTTAATGAGCAAGTTTCAAATGACAGATTTAATGGAAATTAAGTATTTTATTGGTATTAAAGCATTTTCGGACGCAGCCGGGTCTATTCGGTTCGACCCATGAGGATGTACTATGTCTGCCTGACGGTCTACTTCAACTTCTTTGTTTCGCACTGGGAGAAGTACAACACGGGCATCCTGCATCTTCCCTGGGGCTACGACGTCAGCATGTGGGGCAGCACGGCCATGTATCTCGTTACCTGGTGGATGGGCTTCGAGCGCTGGAAGTTCGAGTTGCCGCTGGGATCCTACGGAACCCTGCCTTTGGGCAATGTCATGGAGGCGGTGCTGCATGTCAGTGCCATGGCGAATCTTCCACTAGTCATTATAAATGTGTATAACTCCTATGCGCATCGGACTGGACTCCTTCTGTCCTTCTGGGAGGCCATTAGGCCCATGTGGCCCTTCCTCACCTACTTCGTCATCCTGCTGGCCTGGCCGTACCTCTCGCCGAACGACATCATGGAAAAGGATCCACGCGCCATTTTCATGCTCAGCGGCACCATCTTTTCCAACGTCAGCTGTCGTTTGATTGTCTCCCAAATGTCCGTGACGAGATGCGAGGCGTGGCACTGGCAGACGCCCATGTTCGTGCTATCCTTCCTGGTCAGCTTGTGGCTGCCTCTGCTGGAGCGTCCTCTGCTGTACATGCTCCTGATTGTAACGACCTTGAGTCACTGGCAATACGGAGCTAGTGTGGTGAACCAGATGTGCGAGCACTTCAACCGGATCTGCTTTACTGTCCACAAGCGAGTGCCGGAGGAGAAAAAGAAGGTTCTGCTGGCAGAGCAAATCAGCCAGCCAGATCAGTCAAATCAAGAGGAGCCGTCGAAGAAAAAGGATTAGGGCTTTGGATTGCGCGATTTTGATTTTCATTTTGAGCTGCGAGTTATTTTGCAAGTTTTTTTGTACATCATGGAGGCTGTTTAGTTAAACAATTCTTGTGAGATTATGTATAATTTGTCTTAGTTAGAATATACTTAAAAATTGACTTTATCCTAGTGCTACAATAATAATTGGAGCTTGTTTCGGCATATTCCCAATGACTATTTACGTAATGCTCTCTTCCAATGATAATTTTTAAACTCTACGGTTTAATCGCAACTTGACCTTATCTGTATTGAATTCAAACCTTATTGACCCAAAGTAGATCAATTATATGAACAATTAAGCATGACAAGTGATCTGAACTGCAGCTAAGATATCAAATAAGTATTAGCAAATAGGTTATAATATCGGCCAGACAAGTTCCAGTCCATAAACTCAATTATGCAAGAACAGAGCAGCTTACTACTTATTCTAGCCTTTAGCTTTCCAATTTTATTGCAATGGTTATCCATGATCCTTAAGCCAAAACTACCGCTCGCTTCCGCTGACCTTAAAAATAGCAATGTTTTATATTCGTCTAGACATAATCGAATAATTTCCATGCGCTATGCCTAATTTATTTCCATTGTATTACTTTTAAATGCTCCACAAATGCAAATACACACACTACATCAACGTTTCTAACTAAAATAAAATAGACAGAAAAGAAAGTAAAGTGGAATTAAGCCAATCAGCTTATATAAAAAATATTTTATTAAAATTTAACATGGAGCAATGTAATTCTGTAAATTCACCACTTCCAAGTAAACTGAACTTTGATTTATTAGACTCTGATGAAAGAGACGATTCTCCTTGTCAAAGTTTGATTGGAACCCTTATGTATGTAATGCTATGTACAAGGCCAGATCTCAGTATATCTGTAAATCTTTTGAGTCGGTATAGTCAGAAAAAATAATAAAGAGCTTTGGCTATGTTTAAAAAGGGTATTAAGGTATCTGAAAGGTACTATCGACTTTAAGCTAACATTCACTAAAAATGAGAGCAATGACGACTTCTTTGTTGGATTTGTAGATTCAGATTGGGGTGGAAGTCAATTGGATAGGAGATGTACAACAGGATATCTTTTTAAGATGTTTAAAACAAACCTGATTTGTTGGAGTACTCGAAAACAAAATTCAGTGGCAGCATCATCAACCGAAGCCGAATATATGGCATTGTTTGAGGCTGTAAGGGAAGCCCTATGGTTAAAATCTTTACTAGAAAGTTTGAACATAAATGTAAAGCAACCTATTACAATATTTGAAGATAATCAGGGCTGTATTAGTATCGCCAACAACCCCTCTTGCCACAAACGTTCAAAACATATAGACATCAAATATCATTTTTCACGTGAACAAGTTGAAAATAAACTAATAAAACTTGAGTATATTTCTACAGATCATCAACTGGCGGATATATTGACAAAACCACTTCCAGCTCCACGCTTTGCACAATTGAGACAGCTTCTTGGCTTAAGCGATTGATGGATGCAGACGATACTTACATAAAAGTTGAAGACTTAATTTAATTTATCATTTAAAGAATAATTTTTTGAAACTATGAATCTGTTATATTTTCTAGCTATTAAGTTTGGAAACAGAAGATTTTCTTAATTACTTTATAGTTTTCAAATTTATAATATCACTTCCTGAAATTGCCTTTAATTGTTTTGTATGTTAATTTTGCATCACATCATTTTGTCATTTTAAATATTCATTTTTCTTTGTATTACTTTTAAGATTGACCTAATTGGGTTTTACTGGGTTTCCCCAATTCAAGCAACAAATGTTGGGTCAATGTGCACTCCCAGAGATATCTTGTCTTGCCAATTCAAATTTCAAATTCTTTCTTAAACTTTAAATTTTTAAATCATGAGCATCAGACTTTTGAGGAGGTGTGTTGGAATATGACTTTACTTCATATCGACAAGAATATCGTATAAGCAAAAGTATTCTGCTCACTACTGTAACTGGTAACACTAATATCGTTTTGGTTCCGATGAGCTGGTTCAGCTCTTCCTTATTCCGTATAATTTAAAGTGACAAGACGTGTTCTAAGGAACTTGAAATATATATCTAAAACTATACATAAAGTGTATTTAACTTGGGTTGTGAATTGGTGGGAGATATAATATTGCACCGAGCACATATTACACGCTATATGAAGACCACAGGACGAATACAAGAGGCAACACGTGGAACGCGGATTCTGACGAAATAGTGTGACGCTCCCAGGAAATCACACACACACACATATATAAATTGTGTATATTCTTATACATACTTTATAGGGTCGGAAATGCTTCCTTCTAGCTGTTACATACTTTTGCACGAATACAATATACCCTTTTACTCTACGAGTAACGGGTATAATCAAGGGAGATATACGGCCCTGTTCTAGTTTTCACTTCCGAAAGTATCACACGGATTCGAATTTCCCAGACCTGTTCCAAGACTCACTTCCGAAAGAACTGCACGAAATCGAATTTCCCTCTGTTGTTACTCTGTTAACTTCCGAAAAATTCACACGGAAACTTTCCGCCAAGCATATGACAGGCGGATTTAAATTCGGCAGTATACAAATTAATTCTTTAAATATACTCCGCGATAGCTTTATAAGTCAATAATATTTTTATGCTATTCCTTGATGTTTTATGTTCCTAATTGCATCATCGGAATCAAAATTATTTGCAAATATGACTTATTAATAATTATTTTGTGGTTGCACCTTAAAACCCGGTAAATTCTAGCCTTGACAATTAATGCAAATCCGCCGGCCTTGTTCTAAATTCCGCTCGGATTTGGTAAAAATGGCCTAGAGTTGTCACGTTATAGATATAGGTAAGTATTTAGTTGGGACTTTTTCTAAACTAATCCGATAAGGTTCATGGTTCTTTTATAAGAAAGATAATTTATCCTAATTAACAAAATAAGTGTTTTGGTACGGAATACTACATTATTTCATGTGAAATTTGAACAGGGACATTTGATAGGGACTTTGTTTTTCGACTTTGGCATCTCTGTATGCTCTAGCAGTTTGCAACACTATGTTTCCCCATACTGATTTTTAATACTATTCTGTCGGGAGCCTTGCAAAGCTGCAAAGGGACCAAAGGGAAATATTATAAAATGTCCCTAAGAAATAAGGGAAATTTAATACTGTTAATAGAAAATCCGATAATGTTAACAAATTCACTTCCGAGTGAAAACTGGAACAGGCCGGATAATTTGTTTTCAATTAATTTCCCATTAATTTTTAGATCGTTCCTATGACAGCTATATGATATAGTCGTCCGATTTTGATCAAATAAATTTCCGATCGTTCCTATGTCAGCTATATGATATAGTCGTCCGATTTTTTAAATATTTAATTCGAAATTCAGAAATATTTAAAAAATAACATCCCCAAGAGTAGAAGGTAATATTTCAAAAAAACACCGAAGCTAGAATTTTTTTAACGATTTTTTTTCCGACCCTTTCTATGGGAGCCATAAGATATAGTTGTCCGATCCGGTCGGTTCCGACTTATATACTACCTGCAATAGAAAGAAGAGTTTTGGGAAAGTTTCAAGCCGATAGCTTCAAAACTGAGAGACTAGTTCGCGAAAAAAATATCCTCGACGGACCGCGTATTCTTAAGAATTTACATGAAGAAATATAGGCGCGTACTGCCATGGTTCTCTTGTAATCGAATTTTAAAGTTACGTGTTTTGCTATAAAAGTACAGTTGGCTTTTCTACGACTTGCTATAAAAAACATATTGGATTTTCATAAGTTGTCAAAATAATAGGCCTTCTGAAAAATTCGACAAAAATGTCTAATGGTTTTTATAGGGGCCAGACCCCACAGCCGCGAACTAAATATCCTCCGTGGACAGCGATTCTTTCAGAATTTATTGACCATGGAGGACCAATATAAAACTTCTTAAGGCAGATCTGAAGAAATCGCGGTCCAACGAGGATCATTACAGTTCGTCTATTTTGAGGTCTTATTATATACTAGCTATACCCGGAGCGACTTCGTTCGCTTAAAATTAGTTTTGGAGTTAGGAAATTAGGTTGTTTTTTTAGGAGCGTTTTTTTGAAAACCTTTGCGTAAACAACCTATGTAGAAGATCCTTCAAGAGAGAAAATCGGAAGGCTACTGGCAGAGCTATATAATAAACTAGCAATACCCGAAGCGACGTTGTCCGCTACTATAAGCAAAGCATTTATTTCTGATTTTTTCATATTTCCAAATTTAAATTAATATCCGAGTAAAATCCCGCCTAACCTTGGCTAAACAGTAAACCCACCTAAAGCGCAGTAACATTCTATCCATATTCTTCTAGCCATAACATTCCTTACCTTAACACCGCATTAACCCTAATATTACCTCACCTTAACCCCATCTATTTTATTCTCACCCTTTGCATACTTTTTTAGCACCTTAATGCTGTTTTCACTATTTCCTCGTCTTAACCCACCTTAACACCAGTTTTTCCTCTTCTTAGCTAACCTAACTTTAGTTTCACCTGAAGAAAATGTTTCCTTACTATCCTTAATTACTTTAACTTCTTTTTTTCTTATTTAAATTTGTTTGTCACCTTGACCCAAACGAACCTTACCTTTCTTACCTTCACCCTTTCTGTACATTACTTTTACCTTATCTATCTAATACCTCCTTAATCGCAACTTAACTTCGTACTAACCTCACCTTATTCCCACTGTAACTCCACCGTTCTGGTAGCCTAAATATATCATTTTGGTTAGCTTAGCGAAAGCAGAAAAAAACTCCTACTATTTTTTTTACCGTTTTTTCAAACAGATTTAAAGCCCAAAAAACCTTAAAAACTTAAAAAATAATATATTAAAAATAACACACAAACACCTGTGTAAGGCCAAAATGGCTTAAGCGAAAAACGGATCCGCCCGCATGATCGGTTGGTATACAAAAAAAAGAAGTGCCCCAATGTCGGCTGGGGATCAATATTTCAAGAAATAAAAAAAATTAAAAAAAAACGAAACTAAAGCTCCAACTCTTTTAGGTGAAAACTGTGGGTATAATTCGACCTGTGAGCCTTTTGGAGAAGAAATTCTACAACAATTTTCTTCGTACGCCCCTCGCCATTAACACAATTTAAAACCAATT